GACATGGAGATTTATTATTAGATATATGAATGGTTGACCTTAGCTTAGGCTTGTTTCTGGCTAGCTCTTTTTTTTTCTTTTTCTTTTCATAATACTTTTATTATTGATGAAGACAATTAGCAAGAATCCAGTGGCTGTCAGTAGATCCTGCCTGGCTTTAGTGAAGAAAGTTTAAGAGGCACGGAGGGAGGTGGCTTACATGGGTTCAGGAAGGCCCCGTTCACGCCACTTTACAGTCTGGCTAGCTCTTATGAATTAACCTATTTCTCAACATCTACATTTTGCCTCGGGGCGTTTTACCTTCCTTTCTTTCTCTATTCTTACTTTCCTGCTGTCTCTGTCTGGCCAGGAGCTGGCCGCCTGGCTTCTGCTGTGTCCCTCTCTTTCTCCCTCACTCTCTTTGTTCCACTTTCTCTCAAACCTGGATTTCTCCTCCTATTTATTCTCTCTGCCTGCCTGTGCCCATATCCTTCTCCTGCCTAGATATTGACCATTCAGCTTTTAATTAGATCTACCAGGTGCTTTATTTAGGCAGGTAAGGAGAAACAGCAACACATCTTTACATAATTAAACAAATCCACCATAAACAAATGTAGCACATTTTTACACAGTTAAAGTAATATTCTGCAACATAAACAAATGTAACACATTTTTACATAGTTACAATAATATTCCACAACACTCCTCATTTGGTCTCACTGAGCTGAGTATCCGGACATCAAGGAACAAGTCTGAGCTACACCTTGGGAACCTGGACAGGTGGCACAGAGAATCAGTCAACTGCACCATCTGTGTTTGGAACAGGTTTAGTCACTGAGTTGTGTTGAAAACAGGCAGGGTGTTTTCTCTCTGTAAGCTACAGACATCCAAAATGACAGTGGCAAACTTTTATGCCACTTGGTGAAGCCGCATTTCCCAGATATTTGGTTAAACATCTGTATGGTTGCCCACAGACTTTTGTCCTCCAGGAAACTGGGGCCCTAAAAAGAAACATGACTTAAATTGTATTTTCTCCTCCACTGGAGGCCATCAGAGGAAGAAAGGCCTAGGAAGCACTGTAGAATGTTCTGAGAAAGGGAGAACCTGAGTGGGTTCCAGATTCTCAGCTGTCCCTGCTATAAGAGGTGGCTGACCCCACAGTACCCCAGAGTCATGGTACTGCTGACTACAGTCATTTCCTCATAGAAATATTCTTTTCTAGGCTGGGGAGACGGCTCAGTTGGTAAAGAGCTTGCCTTCCTTGTAAGTGCAAGCACATGAGTGTATCACCACAGCCCATGGGTTTTTTTATTTTGTTTTGACGTGTGTGTGTGTGTGTGTGTGTGTGTGTGTGTGTGTGTGTGTGTGCTGTAAAGGTGGGGCAGTTTTGTGTGCTTGTAATGCCCAGATAGGAGGTAAAGTCAGGTAGGTCCCTGGAGTTCCCCACCAGCTAGCCTGGTCTACTTAGCAAAGGTCCAGGGCAATGAGAAATCCTGTCTCAGACAACAGTACAATGACACCAAAATTTGTCACACACACACACACACACACACACACACACACACACACACACACACCAGGGAGAGAGATAGTATTTTGTGTCTTTTGGAAGGTGTTTCTCTCTTTACTGGGCATCAGAACTCTGGTCCTTCACCAGGCCATCTTCACTTCCCCCCAGAGCACCTCTGAGGCCTGTTCACCCAGAGGACTGCACTGAGCATGCCCAGGAGCAGGGGCACCTCCAGAAAGACCAGGAGCTTGAAGTAGATGCTGCTCAGCAGGGACCTGCAGGAAATGAAGGAGACAGAAAGTAAGCTGTCACCAGGCATAGAGGTCTCAGGCTTCCTCATGTCCATATCCTAGCCTTCAGTGACCAGATAAGGACAAACCTGGATGCAAGCAGGATGGCCTCCCTGCAGGTCCCTGGCTGTTCAAGCTGCCTGCAGGCTAAGCTCCAGCCTGGGGAAGCTTTGCCTGATTCCCACCTCTCTTCTTGAACCACTCCCTTCTCTATTTGGCTGACTGTGTGAGTCCACAAAGATTTCAACTTTGGGTTTGACTCAAGGTCAGAGGGTCGCAGTTGATGTTGTTCTCCAAGGCTGCATAATAGGGTGCAAAGGCATGGTCACCAGTGTCTTATACTTCAGGGCCTAATCACAAGATGCTTTGCCATGGGGCATGGGTTACCAGGTGTTTGGAAGGGTCTACACTTGGTTGTAACTTGTGCTTTGATCTTGAAAGTGGGAGGTCTTTTGCCTCTCCCCTTGCTAGTTTGTATAAAAAGCCCATTGGAAACAAACTCAAGGCTGCTGGGTGTTGACTCAGAGCCCTCCTAAACCTATCCTGTGTTTCTTTTTCTTCGTCTACTTCTATAATTTCTGTCTAGCGCTTCTCAAATTCCTCACTTCAAGGGACCCTGCAATAGGTCAGGTTGGAACCCCAACCCTGGTCTCCTGACAGCTTGTCTCCCAGAAGTCCTCCTCATCTGGTCTGCATTCCAGTCAGGCTGCAGGCTTCCCTGTTCCCTGACCTTTTGACCTTGGCTTCTGCTACATTCTTCACCCAGATTGCCCTGCCCAATCTCATCACTGCCTATGTGGAAGCTGATATACATTTTAGGAGGCTTGGACACACTACATTAAGAAATGGTTGGTGGCTGCTCCTGCTCTGTCACATGAATTCATACTCATGTTGTACTTTTTTTTGTTGTTGTTCCTTTATTATACCCCATGGACCATGAGGCCCTGAACAGTATTGATCCCCTATTCCCACCTCTCTGTCATCCTCATCCCCTGCCCAGGACTCCATCTCCTTTTTTGACTATCCTTGTTTTCTCTTTTGGCCCAACACAAGGCCATCCTGAGCTCATGGAAAGGATCTACAACTGCAGATACTCTGTGAGTCACAGGTTGGCATGAACATGTTCCTGGAAGAGAGAAGAGCTGCCACTTGTCAGACCATGCATCAGATATCCTGACATGTTTCCCAGGACTGAGCTCTGTCCATGCTCTACAATCTCTTGAACTCTATACATTTCTGGATCCTCTTACGTTCTGTCTCTCCATAACTAACACTCCATCCACTTACAAAACAAATTAACAAGAACGCTTCCAAAGTACTAGGAGAGAAAGAAAATTTAAAAAGTGATCTTCAAGCTAGCTTACAAGGTGGGAGTGTTTTGAGACATGTTTGTGTACCTTAAGATTTAGTGGATAGAAAGAACACAATAGAGGTCGGAGGGGAGCGGGACTAAATAAGACTTGAGAGACAATTCTCAGGGAGGGTTAGTGAGGTGACCTCTGCCTTTGCTATAGGGAGATTTGGGGACTTGTGTTTTAGCTGTGTCCTTGACCTGGAGACTTGACCCCAATAGGCTGGGATGGAATTATGCCAAAGCAGCTATAAGGTGCTGGGAATTCCTCTGGACACCTTCAAGATTGACGAGCATAATACTGGCACAGCACCGCCCTCAGTTTCCCATGTCCTCCTCTCACGGTGTGGACCCCACACTGGCTCCTGGCAGAGTTGCATTGGAACAAGGTTTGTTTATGAAGCTGGAGCAGGAGATGATGGGAGAAGAATCTCTTCTAACTCAGAGGAGACCCAAACATGGCCCTCTGTACTGCCCTCTGGGGGACACATGGGGAGACAACAAAGTCCAGGCTCAGTCTCTTTTGCCACTCAGAAAAACATGTTGCCTTCCTGTAGCTGAGGCTTAGAAGGGAAGTCTTGGTATACTAAAAGGTAAAAGGTTGGAAACCCACCTCAAACTTTGACCTGAGAATACAGCAGCCCCAGTGACCCTCTAAGATAGTCACTGAGTTTAGCAAATAAAATTACAATATGGCCCGGCCAATTTGATATTCAGATACATGACTTTTTCAAAATTATAGATATTGCCGTGTAATGCTAGGGATGTACATAAGCTAAAAATGAAAGGTTTTCATGTATCTTGGGACTCCTGGGCATCTTGTGTTTTATTCAGAGGAGAGGCCACAGGGACAGCCCAGTGATGGAAGAGCTGCCGGGGTCCAGCTCTGCTTACCAGGTGTGGGTGTTGGTTTGAGTCCCTCCATAGTTGCCAGTGTTCTCCATGGTCGACGCTGTGGTTGTCAGGACTGGGGCCATGATTGACACTATTTTAGTTGAAGTTTCTGGGGCTAAAGACACAAACAGCACATGGTTCACTCCTGTGGACAGTCCAGCTCTGGGTATGGCCTAATCTTTCCCCACTAGTAACTAAGGGATTTGCTCTCCAGTCACCATCCAAACCTTCACGTTAATTCTTTTCTAAAGAAAGATGATGTGGGGAGCAAAGCAGCCCCCCTTTAAAACCCGCTTCCTTCCTGGCTCACTCATTACTGCCTGGTGTGCAATATGCAGGAAAACTTCAGTTTTGCACATTTTTGTCTTTTTTAAAAAATATTTAATTATATGTCTATGAGTATTTGCTTACACATATCCATGGGCACCATGTGTATGTGGGGCTTGTGGAGGCCAGGAGAGATCAGATCCCCTGGAACTGGAGTTGAAGATGGTTGTGAGCTGCTGTGTGGACCGGGATCCAAATCCAGTCCTCAGGAAAAGCAGCCAGTGCTCTTAATCACTGCGCCCTCTCTCCAGCCCCAATTTTCTCTACTGTCTTTACTGTAGTTGTTTAAACAGACACAAATCTGATCCTTATTACTCTGTCTTATGTAGAATAGAGCTTCTGTGGCTTCATCTATTTTATGTAAAAGGGTGGTGTTGGGGGTGTCAGGATGGGAGTTTAGTTCAGTGGTAAGTTTGTGGCTAGCACACCTGAGGGTCTGAGTTCAGTCCCCAGATCTGCACAAATGAGAATATGCAAGACTCACATGTGGGGGTGGGAAGACAAGGCCTCCCCAGCTCACCTTTATCTCATTAGAAAACAGGGGCAGAGGAGTCAGCTGTGGTTATCTTTCCCAGTAAGACTTTTATAGTAATGAGTTCAGGGTCCCCGATTGCTCACCCCAGCCAGGATCTTCTGGAATTTTTCTTACCTGGGTCAATATTCACATTAACTTCAAAATGGAGATCACGTCCAGATCTCTCAATCCCACACCAGTAAATGCCGGCATCGCTTATCCTCAGGTCCTCCATGGTCACTGTGACGATGAAGCCTGTCTGGTCGTCCCTGATGGACACACGGTCCTTCTTCACCAACTGCTCTGATGCGTTGGTTTTAAGGAGGATCTCACATGTACTCCAATCAGCTCCTTGGCACCAGTACTTCTTGTGCTTCTTCCATGATGAGTCATAACGGCACTGCACAGTCAAGGAGCCCTGCTGCTGACCGCTCACCGTGTCTGGACCTGTGATTGGATCCTGAGCAGTGGAACCGCCTGGAAAATACAAAACCACAGACAACTGATCTCCCACTCCAAGAATGGGACACAATATCCTGTGCTGAAAAGAGTTCATAACCTAATATCAATTAAGAGCAAGCCCTTTCTCAAAACAGATCATCGCCATGCTATTGGTTAAAGACTCAAGAAAAAAAATGCTGAAGGGCCCAGTTGCAGGTCTGAGAAGGTAAATGGTGACACTGAGCAATCATGACACTTGTCACCCACACCTCTTCACTCGGCAGTAGACAATAAAAGTACATTTAAGGATCCTTTTGCAACCATATTTGTGTTACCCTGGAGCAGAGGACGTGTCAGAAGAGACTGTGCACAGAATGCGATCCTGAGTTCATTTCAGTACCCATGGCCCTCAAAAGTTCCATCTGAAGACATCACATTCTTTGGCCATACAGAGGCCACTTCAGGGAGTCCAGCAGTCTCTAGGGGTTGTGTGTGTGGGGTTGTGTACTTACATAGGAAGCACAAAACAAACAAAATAAATACTACTTTAAATCCAGTAAAGGAAGCCCTTCAGGGTATTAGATTCAACAATAACAACAACAATAACACCAAAGTGTGTTCCTAATGGCACAGGTAAGGAAACAAAAAGTACTAAATGTAATTATTTCAAACTAAAAGGATTCAATCAACAGAGTGGGGAGACAGATTCTAGCCTGGGAGAGCACCTTTTCAGGCTATGCATCTGACAAGAGGTTAATTTCCAGACCACATGAGCAAGAATTCAACTCAAGAGTCCACCAGCAATCATAATCCAGTAGAAAATCTACTGAAGCGCTGTGGAGAAGGTTTAGTCAGCGAAACACCTGCTGTGTTAGTCTAAGCATCAAGATGAGTGTGTGTTCCCAGCAACCATGTAAATATCAGGAGTGCTGGTGTGTCCCTGGAGCCCAGCACAGAGGTAGGCAGTAGACACAGGGGATCCTGGAAGCTCCTTGGCCATCCAAGCCAGCCTCGGTATCAGAGAGGAACCCTGTCTCAAAATACAAAAGTGGGAGAAGGCCGTGGTGGTGCATGCTTTAATGCCAGCAATCAGGAGGCAGAGACAGACAGATCTCTGTGAGTTCAAGGCCAGCCTGGTTTATATAAAGAGTTTCAGGCCATCTCGAGCTATATAGTGAGACCCTGTGCCAAAAATAAAATAAAATAAAAAAATAAAGGTATGCATGCACACTTGTTCACACCTACACCCATGTGAGCCGATGAACTGAGCACACAGTTCTCAAAGGAGGTACAAATGACCAATAAATATATGGAAAAATAAATGCTCCATTCACTAATTGTCAGGGAGACGGATGCAAATCAGAATTACAGAGAGCAGTCATCATCCCCCAGACAGGAGCAAGGGATAGAAACACAGAATGTCCCAGTGACCTCCACTCCATGTCCTCCCCACAGAAACCTCTGCAGCTCTGCTGCACAGGGGTCCCTAGGGACACGGAGGACCGCTGTGTGACAGCCTACAAGCCCCATGGCCCCACCAAGTCCTGGTCAGGGCTTCCCTCCCCAGGCCTTCCCATGGTGCATTGGGGCTGGTTGGCACTTTCAAACTGGAGGCCAGTCTTCCTGCAGAGGAGAGTTTAAGTGTCAGAGACAAGACACTTGGTGCCAGGTCCCTTCTGGTCTCAGTGACACCTTTTGCCTCCTTGTCCTCCATCCTTCTGGGGACAGACACAGAGTGGTGGGACTCTGTCTGCCTGGCCCAGTCATCCCCACACTGTCACCCAGACAGGCCACTGGACAGTCTTTTCTAAGGAATGGCCAGATGGAAAGTTCTAGAAAGACAGATGCTTAAAGGACCCTGTGGAGAGTGGCCTCCACTGAGGGGACCGAGAGACACCAGTGGTATTTGGTTCCACACTCCTCACTATGAACCCACAGAGGATTTTGAAGGGATCAAGAACCCCCATATACAATCTACCCTCCTTTTTGTGTCTCTGGTTCCTCTCAGAAGCCCCAGAACCACTGTGATAAGGCTGGCACCTTGGGACCTCCATGGAAGGGAAGTGTCCACTCAGTCTCAGGCCAAAGCAGCATTTGAGAGAGGGGAGCAGATAGACTGGTTACTGTTTCCATACAGAGATGGATCAGGAACAAATTATCCTTTGGAGAGGACTTGTCTCCTATCAGGACAGGAAGTCACAAAGTGCCAGTGGTTCAGGGCTTGTCTCTAGAAAGGTTCAGGCCTGACACTGTCGCATGAACACACAGAGAATCTCTAACAGGGGCTGATGAGACAGTTTCGAGGTAAAGGCTCTGCTTGCCAAGCCTGGTGACCTGAGTTCGAGCTCCAGGACCACATGTGTACAGAGAACTAAGTGCCAGAAGCTCTCCTCTGAGGGACACACATCACGGCAAGTCCCCAAAGTTAGTCGTAAGTAAGTAAGTAAGTAAGTCAGTAAGTAAGTAAGTCTGTCAGTCAGTCAGTCAGTCAGTCAGTCAGTCAGTCAGTCAGTAAGTAAGTAAGTAAGTAAGTAAGTCTTAAGTAAGTAAGTAAGTAAGTAAGTAAGTAACTAAGTCAGTCAGTCAGTCAGTAAGTAAGTAAGTAAGTAAGTCTTAAGTAAGTAAGTAAGTAAGTAAGTAAGTAAGTAAGTAAGTCTTAGTAAGTAAGTAAGTAAGTCAGTCAGTCAGTCAGTAAGTAAGTAAGTAAGTAAGTCTTAAGTAAGTAAGTAAGTAAGTAAGTAAGTAAGTCAGTCAGTCAGTCAGTCAGTAAGTAAGTAAGTAAGTA